TGCTCAGTAGCACAGGGCCCTTCCTTCCCTCCTCAGTTGTCCCCAGAGGGACCTCATTTGCTGCTCTGCCCCTCTGGGAAGAGGTGGGGAACCCTTGTCACTGCCACGGCTTTTGGAGAGGCCGGTGCTATAGTGTGAAAACTAAAGCCCAGTGTGTGGGAGCCCAGATCTGCTTGGTCTCGTCTGGGTGAACACAGTTCCTAACTGCGGCTGAAGTGGCAGACTGAGCTCTTTGAAGTGGATCAGATAGGTTACGGGTTATAATGGAGACTGTCTTGGTTGCCTGCTTCATTGGCTCCGCACACTTGTTAAACCTTGCTCTTGCCCGGTGAAATGTGGAGGTGAGGCTGGTCAGCTGTGGCCTAAAGGCATGGCAGAATTCGTTTGTGTGTGCAGGTGCTTTTTGGATGGGCGATCACTTAGTACCAGCGCCCGTTAGGACGATTGGCTTCTGTAGTGTAGTGCTGAGTTTTTAATTTGTGAACATAAAAGGTGTACACTAACACCCTGAGTCATCTAACCCTTCCTCACCCTTCAAGCAAATCCACAGACTACTCTGCAAAGCGTGCTCAGGGGTTAACACGTGGATCAACATCCCGGCATTGTGTTGACTTTATCTTAAGCCACAGCTGTTGCAAAAGATGACAGCAAGGGGAAAGAAGGATCTAAATAAATCTGTAGTGTGGGTATTTCAGAAGAGGAATCCTGCCTTGTGTTACTTTTCTGATTATCAGAAACCTTGCCTGAGTCACCGCAACTGGTTGTTGGGAAGACTATAATTTAGAGAAATTATGGAAATAATGCAGCTCTTTCTGGCAAATTTTTATGTTTGTCACAAAAATAATTTGGCTGTACTAATTGGCTTGATTTAGAATTCAGGTGCTTTGGGCCTTGTAAGTAATACTTGTTTGGCTTGAATAGAAGGTACTGGAGAAGATAAATCAGTCGGTCATTACTAGCATAACAAATGATGATCATATTAAAGATGAAGTCTTAAGGTTCCTCTGTTTTTCCTCTGTGTGCATATTTAGCACACCAGATGGTCAATGCAGTCATAATAAACTGGTGGGAATATTTAATTAAATGTGTTCCCAGGACATTAAATGTAGTGTGTTATTCTTTGGCTGATAATCAGAGTAAATATTTTGTAATAAGGGAGAGTCCTGGTAGAATATTACTGGTAGTACATGAAAATCACATTTGGGAACAGAAATGTGTTCAAAGCAGAACTTTCTTCACAAAATTAAGGCATCTCAAATGCTCATTCCTCTTACATGTGTTTTTTTTTCCTACCACTAATTCACTATTACTCATTACTACCCAATTATTACAAATGGCATAAAAAATCATTTTAAAATTGATAGTCATAGAATGGAATGAGTCTTAAGTTAAAGTCTGTAGCTGTTTAGTTGGCAAGAGTGACATTTTACCGAATACTGAAGGGCTCAGATGGCACACTGAAAAGCATGGTTAAGAACAACATCTCTGTTAAAGCAGTGGTGGTTCCCTGGTAGTGAAGGAAGCTTGTTTGCTCTTTTTGGGAGTTAATTCCACTCCCTCTGTGAAATCTCAGAGGACTGAAAACATCTTTCCATAGTCTGAACATCCCTCCACCCCCAAGTATGCAAATGACCACTGGCCCAGCAGTGATACTGCTTTGTCAATAACCCAATTATCTTTTCACCCTAATCAGTTTTATAATATCATCATTTTCTTTATTCCCATGGAGCAGCTTTTTTTTTTTCTCCTGTGAAAGTGAGATTGGTAGAATGAAAACAAGGATAAACTTAGCCTATTAAAATAGGCTACTTAATAACTGGAGAAGGGAAGATCAGCTAGAAATCTGAAATACATAGAATCAGTGGGCAGCTGAACTGTAAAGCAAATTACCTTACTGAGCGCATCTATCTCGGGACTGGGTAGGTCATGTTCTCTAGCCAGGGTTTTCTTTTGAAGAGTCCTCTCACCTTACAGGCAGAGAACATCATTATCTACTTGTAAGAAGGCTGAGAACCTAATTCTGAAGGACACTTAGTTTTACGGGAGTGTTAGAAGTGACTCGTCTTTTCTCTGAGCCTCTCCTGACAGAATTAGGATGTGGTTTTGAACAAATAACAGGACCTGCTGTTTGACACTATCCCATTTCACTATGGGAAAAGCAAAAATTGGGTAGGAGATGTTGGGATGGATAGCTAATGTCTCTTGATTTCTAGACACACACATCTATGTATTCCTAAGTAAAACCATGATTGTCCACACGCAGCTCGGTTAGGCCTGTACTATTGCTACGTTTGTACAGTTAAGCACACAAGTCTGGAAGGCCCTAAAACTTTAAGGACTTTAGATATCAAAGGTACCAATGTCTTTGAGAGATGGCATGTAAACAGGCTAGCACAGAGTTTTAGTCCACCCTCTTCGGATTTTGTCAGGACTGTGTCAAACTGCATATAGCCAAACTGATTGCTAAGACAGCTTTTGTGCTAGTGTTGGCTAAACTGACCTACTGCAGAAATAAAATCCTAGGTGGTAGAATCCGATTAACAGAAAACTGGGAACTAGCAAATCCCTCTAGAGAGCAGAAGACTCAAAGTACTATCAGTAAAAGTCCCCCTTTGCAAATTAGCAATGGAAAAATTGTTTTAGCTATTACTGCATAGGAATAAACAAAGCAAGTTCCAAACTAACAGCAAACCCCCAGTGCCATAGAGCTTCTTCATTTCCTTAGAGATCCTCCCTGCCTCAAAGCTTTCAGATGCATCTAAATTCACAGAGGAACACTCTCGGCACCAGGGACAACGTGAGAGTGGTTGGTTTCTACAGTTACTGTTAGGTCCGGGATCTTTACTCACATCTGTAGTCACTATAGTGGTGTATGTATTTGCATCTGTAGCTGATTTTAATAGTTGTTTCAGAGTTAAAACTCAAGAGTACAGAGCTGTGGAAGTGTTCTGATTTATTTTACAATTAAATAAAGGGGTGTTTTGTGTGGGGTATATTTTTTTTTTAATGCCTTTGGAACCACAGACTGTCAAAACCCACCTAAGCAGCGAAGCCCAAATGGGTAGATGCCTTTTGAAGGGGTCCACATGGAAGAACAGTGTCTTTTATATGTGTAAGTTTGGTTACAACAGTAAATATTTACTACATAAATATGGTACCTGGCCAGTAAAAAAATAAAGAGGAAGACAGGCAGTGCAATTTTATGTTTTATTTGAACAACAGGGAAAGGGTTTGAGGAGAGAGGACTTAAACTGGGATTCACAGAAAATTGCCTCCTTCATTTCATTTTTTATAGGGATTATTAGTCAAATCTTCTGCTGCATTGATGCTGACCCCTCCCCTGAGTTTTGCCAGCTGATACCAGCTAATGGTGTCTGATGTAATTCTCACTTCCCTTGTGCTGTAACCTTTAACTATGTGTTTCTCACTATTTAAGTCAGAGGGCTATTAGAAGTAGGTTGTGAGCTTTGATTTGGAGTCAGTAGCTGAAGAAGAGGGGAGAAGGATGGCAATGAAGAGGCCTGGGCTGCTTTGCCACAGGCTTCCTGTGGCACTGAGCAAGTCGCTTAATCTCCCTGTCCCTGTTTCCCAGCCATATGCAGGGGTAATAGCTTTTCCTTAGCTTATTGCAGTGTTGTTAGGATAAAGACTTTCAAGGGATTAGGTCCTGTAGCTGGAAGCTTTAAAAAGCACTTTGGAATGATAAAACAAGTTGCTAAAAGCAGCTATTGAGGTCCTAATGTGAACTGTACCAAAGTCACAGTGGTGGCCTGGCATCCTCCTGGTATTCGCTTTGTGCTTCTCCCTTCCCTAGCCTGACTAACAAAAAATTTGCCCTGCGTAGCTCACATATATGAACAAAAGTGGGATTACGTGTCAGGCAGCTTGCCAAAACATTAGATACACAGTCATCCCTTATGTTCTTCCAGCCAGTGCTGAAATGGAAAACAGTAACACTGCCTATCTCCAGTTCTCCCTTTGGCTGTTAGAGCTAAGTAGTAAATTGCTTCCAAAATATCCAGGTGAGATGAGAAATCTCTTACTCGTGATTTTGACCTACCAGTTTCAGTCCCAGTCAGTAACCAGAAGAGCTGAGGACATCTGAGTCAGCTGAGCCCTTTTTACTGAATTGCTAGGGCAGTCCCCAGATGTTCCCCCTTCAAAATTAATTTGACCTGTTCTTGGGAGTGAAGATTCTCAGCATCAATGGCAACTTTTTTCCTTTTCCTAAAAAAAAAAAATAGTTCACAAGTCTGATGGCTAGGGGCCCGATGATGGAGCTTTTCTAAGGATTTTGCATTCTTTGGTAGCTCCCAAAAATCATGCTAGGCCATGAGAAATTGGACATTAAAGTTGTGATGCTTCATGTGTTTCAAAAGAAAACCTCTCTAACATAGTTTTTTGCGTGAATTTCTTTGGATAATGCTTCTGAGAAATTATAAGCTGATATGAGACAGTACAGAGGCAATAATAGAAGAATTATGTAAATGTAGGTTTGACTTTCATTCTAGCATTTTTGCACTAAGATATCCCAGAGAATACTGGTGCTCTCCAGTGATGTAGGCCTTCAATTCCCTTCTTTACTGGAAAACTTAGGATCAAAGACAAACTCTTAACGGATGCCTTGTGGGAGTGGAGCCACATTGGCTCATAGAGGTACTGCTTTCTGCTGCTGCCAAGCCAGGATGCTTTCTGCAGAGCTCAGACACTGGTAGGGCTGAGCCAGAAGCACGGAGACCCCTCTGTCCTCTTCTGAAGTGCCTTGGGAGGCTGGGAGAAGGAGAGGTGGTGCAGGTATCTCTGCGCTTGTTTTGTCTGTTTTGGATATTACGTGCTGCCTAGTGACGAGAGAGGGCTCATGGCTTGTTTACCTGCAGAAGAGTCTGGTGGCATTAAAGCCACGTGCCTGAGGACTGCCTTCCTGGAGCCCGCCTGGGAACCCGTGCCGTGCCCTCGGCGGCGGACGCTGCGTCTCTCCTGGTGAGCACTCTCCCGCGTGCGGCAGG